TTTATATTCAGTAGTTCAACGGACGATAAGATTTCACTCTCAGAGGAATCACAGTATTGACACTCCGATTCCTTGAACTAATTTAGTAAAAACTTCCAAACAGATTGAGTCAGAGGGTTTGGAAATATTTCAGTGAGTGAGTGAGTGAGTGAGTATGGTCTTACGCCGCTTTTAGCAATATTCCAACAGACAGACAGACAGACAGACAGACAAGGGTTTATTCAATATTTCAGGCCATATCTGTGTTTTCTGTACAGCTGTGTGTTTTTTTGACATTGTACAGTCACGTGGAAATATAAATATACACAGAGAGTATTACACGAGCATGTGTGTCGTATGATTTATACACGAAACGAGTGCTCGGGCAATACACAATTTTGCACGAGTTTCGTATGAGTCGTGTGGCACACTTGCGAGTGTAAAATAATTTTCTTTATTATCCATTTTATTCAGGTACATTTGTGCAGTAAAACGCGGTAAGCAAGTGTGACAACCCTGTTCATTGACGTCACGTTTAATAAGTTGTTTAATGACGTCACAGACGATGATATACGGAAACAGTGGTTGTTAGGCAAAAATGTTAATTTTTCTTTCTAAGATTATTAACATTACAAATGTGTAAATATATTCGTAATTTACAGAAAGCTCTTCTTAATGTTCTATCCTGTAGTTCAGATACATATGTTCCAGGAACAAGTAATGATTTCATATTTGCATAATGACATATAAATCTTGAGGATGATATTTGACAGTGCCAGTTTTGTGAAAATATGTCATTTATAAGGATAAAAGTAAATAACTTATCATTACCAACATTTTGAGATATCCAAGCAAAGGACAAACCAGACATAAAAAGAATACTTTTCATATCAAGAATCCCATTATCATCCAATCTTTTTATAACATGGAACGGTAAATCTATTTGATTTTTTTTTAGCTTTATCCAATATTTGACAGCTCTTAACTGTGATGAAACAAAGAGACCGGTGCGGCCAGTTTCTCCTAAAATAGCTTTGATAGAGGCATTTGTACAAACAGCTAAGAAATGATTAAAATATAAAGCGTGGCCTTTCGATGAAATCATTATATTTAACTCCCCATTTTTCGGAACCATAGCGAAGAATTGGTGGTATTAGTCTGTTGTCAAAGAATTTAGAAACAACTGGGAAAGATATAAACGTATTTTCTTTATAAACCTTATATACGGAAATCAAGGCTTTAGATGCTTTCAAAGTCAGCTGCTTGCAGTCTGCGGACCATGACAAACCGACAAGCATTATCATTGTAAACCGGGATTAGAACAAGATGATAGAATTCCGGACGATTAATGGGGCGCAACTCTGCACATGGATTCACGGGGCCTTAGACAACTGGGCCTCCCCTGCCTTCATATCAGTGGAGGAATGGATGTAATTTAATGGCTTGAAATAAGTTTTTCCTCAATTCATGTTTTTGAACGGCAATTAATATTAACTCTGAAAGACGCGGAATGTGATTCACAATCAAGGATATTTTAATTTAATTTATTCATTTGCGTTTTTACTTTATTTCACAGGGATCAACATTTTACTTCTGGTTATGCGGATCATATTTCACAGGGATACAACATTCAGTGACATCTACTGTCTGGGAAGACTATTCCGCATCACTGAACTGGAAACCCACAACAATGGGTGATGGGTAAACCAACAAGACTCAGATCTAATTATATATGTGCATTAGCTGACCAGCTGGTGGGCCCGTCACTGCACTTTTCTTGGGTAACACGAACAGGCTTACATGAACACACCGCACTTGTCAACTGTTGACAGCGTGTGTGTTTGTAGGTCAATGATACACCCTTCTGTGTCGGAAAAACGAGTAATCACAAAATAGTGACCAAAATAACTCCTTTGAGCCGAACTTTAGAAGTTGGGCAGTATGATAATGATAAATGTTATGGATAACAAATTCTTTTATTTCGTCATTGCGGGATAATTATCCGAATAAAAACAGTTGCTATCTATACAATTTGTCATTTTCGATTAATAGTAGCAGCGATGTTAGGCATGATTTCATCCAAACTGACATTAATAGTACGTGTACACACATACCCTTTGTTTATTTGGTTCATAATGTTTTGGAGCGGTGGGGTAATGTAATGTTTTGCTAACAGTTAAAGCATATTCATTTCTTTCTTGCCTCTGACCAAGCCCCACCCAGAATATTTAATGCCGTATGAACACCCATACACCATCCTGTCAAGCACAAACACACATACAGCACACACACATAGATCAATCTGTCAAGCACAAACACAGCTCCTATACAACACAAACATAGTTCAATCTGTCAAGCACAAACACACATACAGCTCTTTTACAACACACACACATAGATCAATCTGTCAAGCACAAACACAACTCCTTTACAACACAAACATAGATCAATCTGTCATGCACAAACACACTTAACTCATTTACAAACACACGCATAGATCAATCTGTCAAGCACAAGCACACATTACTCCTTTGCAATACACACACAGATCAATCTGCCAAGCACAAACACACAGCTCCTATACAACACACACATAGATCAATCTGTCAAACACGCACACAGCTCCTTTACAACACACGCATAGATCAATCTGTCAAGCACGCATACAGCTCCTATACAACACACACACATAGATCAATCTGCCAAGCACAAACTCACAAAACTCCTTTACAACACACGCATAGATCAATCTGCCAAGCACAAACACACATAACTCATTTACAACACACGCATAGATCAATCTGTCAAACATAAACACACATAACTCCTTTACAACACACGTATAGATCAATCTGTCATGCACAAACACACATAACTCATTTACAATAAACACATAGATCAATCTGTCAAGCACAAACTCACAAAACTCCTTTACAACACACGCATAGATCAATCTGCCAAGCACAAACACACATAACTCCTTTACAACACACGTATAGATCAATCTGTCAAGCACAAACACACATAACTCCTTTACAACACACGCAGAGATCAATATGTCAAGCACAAACACACACAGCTCCTTTACAACACACACACATAGATCAATCTGTCAAGCACAAACATACATAACTCCTTTACAAAACACACGCATAGATCAATCTGTCATGCACAAGCACACATAACTCCTTTACAACAAACTCACAAATCAATCTGTCAAGCACAAACACACATAACTCCTTTACAACACACGCATAGATCAATCTGTCAAACACAAACACACATAACTCCTTTACAACACACGCATAGATCAATCTGTCAAGCACAAACACACATAACTCCTTTACAACACACACATAGATCAATCTGTCATGCACAAACACACACAGCTCCTTTACAACACACACATAGATCAATAACACCTTTACAACACACGCATAGATCAATATGTCAAACACAAACACACACAGCTCCTTTACTGACTGACTGACTGAGTTTGGTTTTACGCCGCTTTTAGCAATATTCCAGCAACATCACGGCGGGGGACACCAGAAATGGGCTTCACACATTGTGCCCATGTGGGGATTCGAACCCGGGTCTTCGGCGTGACGAGCCAACGCTTTAACCATTAGGCTACCCCACCGCCCCCACAGCTCCTTTACAACACACACACACACATAGATCAATATGTCAAGCACAAACACACATAGCTCCTTTACAAAACGCACGTAGACCAATCTGTCATGCACAAATACAACAACTTATGTAAAGCACACATACACCGCCCTGTCAACCACATACACAATAACCTATCAAACGTCACTTGTACACGAAACAGTAACCTACCTCTTGGATATCAAATACAACCCATATTATATCAACACTCCCAAAATGGCACCATCTTGTATGGTATAATGCTGCATACCGTATACATATATGGATTTCAAAACCTTCACACGTTTTATTACACCACCAAATATTCAAGTTCACGCCCTGTTGCCTCTTGCAATTCAGTGCATTGAGCCGACTCTGTCCCGAATAAGGTGTGGCCATATTCGAGGGTCTACATGCTCATAAAAACACTCGACAAGCTGTCAATTTGGTGAAATAATATCTGTGTGGATGTAGATTTCCAGTGTCTGCAGGGAAAAATGGGACCCCTGGTTCTGTTATTCGTGTTTTCAGAAACCAAACCCTGACATGTCTTCTTGTGCCGACCAAGATTTGTACCTCTTTTAATGGAGTTTAGTACAATTGTAGCACAATATTTCAGCCATATCGTGACTTATAAAGTTTTAAATTGATAATAAATGGAATTATATTAAAAGAACCGTAAAACCAGTAATTAAATATACAACATTTTAACTATAGGGGACAACACAATATAAAAGCCGGCTACAGATTGCCAACAGCTGAAGGTAGATCACCATACTAGGGACCATGGGGACTTACAGTACATTTGCTTCATGCTTGAACCCTAGCTGGATTTACACCATCCGATCAGCTGTTAACAAGTTAGACAAATCTATCCATAAACCAGCTTAAAAGCAAACATATTCTGCGACTAAAACGAGTGGATCGATTAAATTGACTTTGAATGTTTTGGGACTTACGTACCAAAATGAAGTTTAAATCTAACTAGTTTTTATGTGTATCTTATGTTAACCCTTTAAAATAAACATTTCACTTGTCTTCGGTTTATGGTGGATTTTGTAAATTTAGTTGTTTTTCGCTAACAGTATACCCTATCGGCACCCTCATATATACATCCGTAGACTTGCACAAGTCTTCAAGGCAATGATTAATAGTTTATATGATAACTTCTAAAATATAAATAACAGACCGGCGTCCTATCCTGTCCGCTTGTCTGGACTTGCCTCTTTAAAGGATAGAATTGCCATACATCCATAGGCTTAGCACTCAATACAGCCTTGAGCTAATATACCCGCTACAGGGCCAAAGGAATTCACTTCCTCGTTCAAGCTATACAGGCTGAGGTTCTTTTTATTCACATTCTGGGTCAGGTGTATCCAGTGTCCAAGTAGGCTGTCGGTGGAGCGAGACGAAGGATATGACATTCTGATGGTGTTCCTGAGTATGGTATGATCGCATCCAAATTCATACTAATGTTCCAGTGTCATCGGTATGTATCTACTCCTTTCATTTATGTAGGCGCTTATTGTCTCGACCACAACAGATAATGCCTTAACTTTCTACGAGTCATTTTAACGTTCATGTTTATGTCACTAGTGAGTATCTAGGCCACACGGTTAATAGTAACGTTGTCAACATATTACCACTCAACGGGACTGAATTACCTCGGACCTAACTGAATACTGTCACCTACGTTTATAACGAACACGCCCACGACCTACTGAAGGATATACCGAACAATTTCTTTGGTACCGAACCCTTGCTGTATATTTTAAATGCGTATAACGAACTGTGGTTATTATGTGATAATTTAGTGAACCCTTTGAGGTCATTATAACCGTAATTTGCTGTATGTTGCTTTGTTGTGTCAATATATCACTGACTACAGTCACATATGAATGCCTTTTACGAATGGACTTTAAGAACAATAGCAAAACCAGTTGGTTTGTATGTTTGGTTTTTACCCAGAGGACAGCTGTTTTGTGAGTGAGTTTAGATTTACGCCGCGCTCAGCAATGTTTCAGCTATATGGCGGCGGTCTGTAAATAATCGAGTCTGGCTATGTCATGTCTGCTTAAGTTTGATGATAACAACCAGTGGTTTATGTTGTATGCACTCTTACGCATGTCAAACTACGGATCACTTCCATCCCGGGACACCTATTGGATCTGGGGTATCGTAATAGAGAGATATTCCATATGATTTAAAACGCTTCTGTGACGTCAATCTATTGTTTAAACCATCCTCTATTATTTATCAAGAATGGACAGTTGCTTGTCATGTGTCCTGAAAAATATTTTCATTAAATTACACTTTGAGTAAATGGAACTACACTTTTATAATTTGAGAAGTGAATGCTTTTATATTTTGTCAAAAGCCCGTGAGTTCCGAACCGTCCTTTGATTTGAGAATGTCTAATTATCGATCTCAGCTGTGGCGATACATGCGGTTCACTGTGAAATATTCACTATTAAACGCTTAACACTTTACATGTATAACATTTTGGTACAGCAGGTTACTTCTAACAATGTTCATGTTTACAACAGTTGGGTAAACATTTGACTAGAGAAAACATCAGCTACAGATAAACATCCTTTTCAGGGCTCTATAGTTATGATGATAAATATGTATTTACAACACGCAAGCGATTGATAAAATATTAGTTTAGGACCCAGCAATGTATGCAAAATAGAAAGATTTCGGTTTGTTTTTAAAATATTTTAATATTTGTAAAAGTCGATATGCATGTATACATAGGATGTTTTCTACGCCGGGGAATATCCTCGTAAGTCTCTGTTCCCTGAAAATGATGGCCCTTGGCTCTATTATTTTTCAAGAGATCAGACATTCTCCTTAAACGTAGTGAATCAGATTACACAAAGACAAATTACGACGTATCCGCATTGTAGATTTCTAAAGTGACATTCCTTTGCTAAGTACTTGATCCCCGGACCGGGCGGGATACGTTCACAAACGGTCTTTTCATGTTTCTTGCGCACTGCCTCTGAATAGATGTTCTCGGGCTTAACACTATAGACTGACAACGCCAGCAGCAGGCCACAACAAGGCATTCATTTGACTGAATATAAACCCTACATACGTAACTCTGCATATGGCGTATGCTTAACTGAAAATGACATGTGAATGGGATGGCATACAAATAAACTGTAAAGCATATTGACAGAAATCGTGTAATACAAATTGGATTTTCACTTTACCTAAGGTTCAGATAGAGTGTTTTTGAGAGTAATAAAAAGAAAATGTCATAACAGAAAAATATGTTTGAGTATAGATGCAATTTATATGTTAATACTAGGTAACAATAGCGACGAATATTCCAAGGATTGTCGTAGTATTGTCATAGATGTTGACTTAGGTTACCGTCAGTTCAATTCAAGGTATGTCCTAGTGGGTTGTGAGCAATGGTACTAGCAGGATATCCGGTGTTGGATAACTAGCGACAAACAACAACCACGGTAACTCTCCATACACCTAACGCTGAGGCTGTCAGTGAAGCTTTGCTTACTTTGATTGTGCAATTTCACATTCTATTCTTAAATTCAGGTTTCAAACTTGAAAGAAGTTTTGCATGGTGCTTGAGACTCTGTTTTACGTCGTACTCAGCAATATTCCAGCTATATGGTGCCGGTCACTAAATAATCGAGTCTAGGAGAGACAATCCAGTGATCGACATCATGAACATTGATGTACAGGATACGATGACATGTGTCAACCAAGTCCGGTATGAAATGTACAGATGTAGCAACTGATATGTCACAAAAACGCTGTTGATGATGATGACGTCAAATTGTTTTGCCAGACAGACAACGGTGCCCGGACCAAAATGTCAAAAAGGCTGCATCCTGCTGGTGATGAAGTCATTTGTCCAGACAGACAATGGTGCCAAGACCAATGGTAATAAGCGAGCATATAGATCTTTCTAGTTTCTACTTATATGTTCATAACTTGATCAACAGTTGTGATAAGAAGTCATGTATTTTGTATCATATTTTATTTGCATTCTTTGTACACAAACTACAGCTGACAATGTTACTCTACTAGAGTGAATCTGAGAAATGTATTTTGTAACATTAGGAAATCTTATATATTCAAACATGAACTGTTTATGCAGTAAACCCCCTAAAACAGTTGCATTGTTTTTCCGCTTTCGTTTCAGCATATGGACATACCACTAGTGAAGACGGCGTGCGAATGTCGGTATTCTTTTCACAAATCTATATTAATGCATACTAAATCTCCAACCCTTCAAAAATAGACTTAAATGTTAGTACTGTGATATCGGTAATACTTGTAAAACTGTCGAGAAATGTCTTAGATTATGGAATTTGTTTTTTATTCACTGTTTATAATGATCTTTAATATGTAGTTGTTTTAGGATTACATGGAAAGTGGTAAGTATGAACGTTTTCATTGTGTGAAAGGGCGTGTATGTGACATGGTACCCGGACTGGCCCCCGATACCTTAGAACAGAATGGATCAATAGATTTTGTAGGTCCGAAAAATGGAAGGATTTGCCTTGTGAAAGTATATAGGTAGGCGAGCATTATTATGATTATCATTATTGAGTAATGCAGTATAATTACAATGAGGCTTATCCTTTCATATCCACGTCTGATATTGTAGTGAGATATTTAAATTGAAGCGACAACCACTCCAACGCCTTCAACGTGCGGCCCGATGACAGATGCCGATCTGGACGAGGACTGCTCCAACGCTAGATGCGTGGCCGTCAACAGCACGTGTGTGACGACGTCAGCAGGAAGCCGTAGATGTGCTTGTGTCAACAAGAACGTGCAGATATCTCCTAGAGAATGCTCAATGGGTAAATGTGGTTACGAATATGGCTAAAGTGAGAATTTAAAAACTGATGTAAGCGACCAGTGAAGTTATGTATCACAGAGTTGGGTTTCTATCATTTGAAGTATCTTTCTTCTACCTTGTCTGGTATTGACAACACTTTTCATTTTAGTCTCTATGTTTCAGGCCCACGTTTTCTCTCATCTAATAAAACCTACGTTTTCCATACAAACATGTTTGGAGCATCGACAATAGGTAAGCGTCTCTTAAATCAATCACCATGTTTGAACGTGTATTGGAAAAATGTAAAACGTCAGTGCAAGTTAATTATCCGCCAAAACAAATTCCGGCTTAAAGGGCAAGATATACTAGTATGTGTAAATCATATCAAACCAGTAAAGATCGGTGATGATACTAGGTGATCGCGAAAAGTTTAAGTATGTATAGGGCCCGTAAGTAGGTCGCAGCGCTTCGCGAGACCTTAGTACTTCCGGTGACAAACAACGTTTCATACCTTTTCGAATGGTCTCATGGTTGTCAGTTGACAGTAAGGAACCGATAATCCTTGCAGGAACAGAGAATGTCTGATCTAACCATCCCCAAATTAGCTAACTACATGTATTACTACTGTCAACAGCTGTGACAGTCCAGCATGGTTGTAACTTAGTTCGGTCCAGTAAAGTCAACTTTGGCTGTCGCGCAGTTTGGAACCAGAACTGTTCCTTGAATATACTCTTAACACAGGAAGTAAGCTGGTCCCGTCTCGCATATCACCACTCTCCTACCCAGAGATCCATGCGGCAAGCCAGCATAGTACACAGGCCAGAAAAATGTGACGATTCGTCACATCTTGCACCGTCCATTCAATATAATGTACAGATTTCTTTTACTCTTTTATTTTTGATGAGTCTACACATCTAACTAAACATCTTTAATAGAATGAATTAGTTTCACTGAGAAAATATCCAAAAACATGTAACACTATTCCGATTTGCGTAGCGATCCTTTGTTTACATAGTTTGAACGGCTCCACGTGTTGTCAACGAAGCCGACGGAGAGCAAGCGATGCAGCCAGTTTGATATCTAAATATGTACTGTCATAGACCTAACTGTCGCAGTAGTGGATGAATATAGGCAATATGTAACAATGTAAAACATTATGGAAAGAGCGCCGAAAAGCTTTCGTGAGTCCAGTCTCTTCTTATTATGAATATGCGCGTTTGATTACAAACAAGAGAAAAGTCCGGTCACATGATATGCAAATTAGCCTGTGGCAGTGATGTTAAGTCATCGCTGTGCCGGAGTGTGGCATATCACAAGTTGGGCGCGCAAAGGAAGCCGGAAACCCGCTTAGTACCGGAAGTAGCGCCTCGCGAGACTTACAGGCCCTATTGCCTGATGCACAGCTGTATGATCACCATGCAACGGTTGCTTGTAAACAAATCAGACTATCACGTGACAGATAGAAAAGCAAATCCAGTGACATATTAGATCTTGTAGTGATATTTTAGAATAAAAAAACGATATGTTAATTTTGTATTACATCTGTTGTGAACAAGTACAGAGGTCCTGTTTTTAAGATACGTATTCGTTCTGCTATACATTTGACATGGATTATCTGCTGAAACTCCGTACTGTCATTAAATGTCGTAACTGTTGAGCAAACTAATATTTGTTTTCAGTGGGATCAATCCTTCTGGACGAGCTGAGTAAATTTCCAACAGTTAGATTCTCCACAGAAGCTAGTGTATATCCTGATGAGGGGATTCTGGACCTGAGGAGGAGCTCGGGGAAGATTGATGTTGCATTGGTCAAGGAGATACGCGATGCTCAAACCTTTGTCGTGGTGTTACGTGCAACCGCTGGGGATTTCACTGTGCAGCAGCTTGTGACTGTCAGGATCACATCCTCCTCCTTCACTCCAGAAGACGTCACAGTTATGCTGGTGGAGGGAACCAGGAAAGGCACACTAATAGCGGACGTGAGGACTATTGGTAGTTTGGGGGGTTACAGCAACTACGATATTGAGACCACAGATGATACAGCTAGGGCCTTGCTCCTTGTGACAGCCTCGGGGCAAGTTCTCTGTGGACAGGACATATTTCTGAGTGACTTTGCCAATGACGACACAGTGGCTAAAGAGTATGTAGTCAGTGTCGCAGCAACGAAGGGAGGCCAAAGAGCAACAGTTGCAACGTATTACATCTTGTTCTTTAAGGGGAGCTTTAAAACAACAATAGACGAGAACTGGATAGGTGATATCTTGAGTTATAGTTTAACCAGCACCAAGTTCCAGGTCGACATAAATGCCACGCTTCCAGACAGACTTCTACTAACAAAAGATTTGACGACCATAGGTCTTAGGAACGCCATTGACTATGAGGCTGGCATCGGAAATATACAGTTTAAACTTGATCTCGTCACTACGGACAGTGCAATGTCAACCACAGTAGATGTACGCATAAACATTGAAGATCAAAATGATGAACCTCCGGAACTGGAAGAGAAGCAATACGAATTTACAGTATTTGCTGGATCTGAGACAAATAGTGTAGTCGGCGTTGTTGATGTCACAGACAGAGATACAGTTGGACAGACATCATTTCAATTGGAAGGCGCCTATAAAGACGACTTCACCATAAACGACGATGGTATTTTGACATCAAAGGTGTACTTAACAAGAGGGCGGTTCCCCTCCACGATCCCTTTTCGTGTCAAGGCTTATGATGGCGTTTCCTACTCTGATGAAGCCAGCATCACTGTGTATCTCATCTCCTACACCAGTAATGCAATCAACCTCAACAGAACCTTCCTTGGTAGCGTCAGCGAGAACAGCCCCCCTGGAACAAATGTTGCTGATGTTGCAGTGTCGAACTACACCGGTTACAAATTTGCAAACCCTCGGGCTAACAGTCTCTTCACAGTAAACAGTACATCTGTAAGTACTATAGCACGCAGGACTAGCCATATATCTTAATATTCTTTAACACCGTATGCGTATGTCCGTACTTATATATAAACCATTTGTGTTTTTATACCTTTAGGATTACTGGTTTAGTAAGTGAGAAAAGAGAGAATGTTAAAACACATAATCTTCTCTTTCAAGGGGACGGTCACAACCGCTGTTGGCTTGGACCGAGAGGACAACGATCATGCATATACTGACTTCACCATTCTGGCCTACATGGATAGTAATGACCAGTGCTCCCCTGTGGTGAGTGGACATATAAGGAATCTGTACGGATGGGTTTTTGGATATATACAGCAAGTGGCGACTGTAGTATATGAGTACATATTACCGGAGAGAAAAATGTGTTACGATATACCATTATTGGCATATGTTACCTGCTCTACAAGTGTCTGAGGAGACTTTGCCCTGACAAAAGTAACATAGAAATATAGGTGTTTATGTAAGATAATTTTTTTATTAATACATATTCATTTCTTTTGAATGAAATATTTTGTTCTTGTTTTGTGGAAGCTTTCAGCTCTTTAATTAATAAACTTACACAAAGCATTTCCGCTTACAATTATCGCATACCGAAAGAATAGATTCTAACAGATTTCATATTTGTTTGATTTGCAGTGTTATGTTACAGACTTAAGCCGACAATGTACTATTTAAACATTCTCATCCACAGACGATTGGTCAACTCATTACAAATGTAACGGACGTTAACGACAACGCACCAACATTTTCCAGACCTTTTTATACAGGAAGTGTAAAAGAAGACTCGAATCCAGGAACTCTGGTGGATGGTTTGGTGAGAGTTAAACAAACTGCAACGTCCGACTGTATTCAAGATTACATAATAAGAGGGTCTTAAATAGAGAGTGTCATTGTGACTTGAAAACAATTTATAGGTCACAAAAATAGCAATTATGACTAGTGTTTTATTCAGGTTCAGCTGCATGTATAGAGTGATAATGAGTGAGTGAGTTATTATTTAACGTCACATCGGCATTATTGCAGCCATATCGTGACGAGAACATATTTGATTTTGAAGTGGAATATATGTATATTATAAAAACCTGTCGACGAAGGACAGTAAAACAACTAGAATATCACAATTACAACTAAAACTAGCATGGAGAGTTAAAACTGATAGCACTAATTGGACAATACAATATAAAAACAAGCTATAGATCGCCAACACCAGAAGGTAGATCACCAAACTAGGGACCATGGGGACTTACAGTACCTTTGCAACCTGCATGGACCTAGAGTGATAATGACATTTTGTAGCCATTTATAGATCACCAACATATGTATATATGTCTAGTTTTCATGCAAGTTCAGCTTCATCTATGGAGTGATATTAGCACTTTATTGCTATTCAGATGTCCCAAATATATACATTTGTATATGTTCTCCTGCAGGTTGACGTAGTTGTTACTGACGACGACATCGGAGAGAATGGTGCCGTCAACTTCGCTTTGAAGGGAACAGGTAGTAACTATTTTGCTGTTGAGAAATCAAACCACAACCAGTTCACCATCAAAACAAGCGGAACTCTGATCGACAGGGAAGTAACTCCATATGTGGTCCTGACATTAACTGGAACAGACAACCCATCTAATCCTCAGGAAGGCACCACTACTCTCAACATCACAGTCATGGACATCAATGACAATAGACCTCAGTTCAACCCTGGGAAGACTGTATTTTCGGTGGAAGAAAACGCTGGACGAACGAGTATCACTACGTTAACAGCTACGGACAAAGATGAAGGCCGGAATGGACAGGTGTCATACTCATTGGTAGAAGGGGGTTTTGGACTATTTGCAGTTGACGAAAGCACTGGCGCTGTATCAACAATCAAGGAAATTGACAGAGAAAACAGGGATGTCTTCAACCTGTCCATTGAAGCCAGGGACCAAGGGTCGCCTTCCTTTGCATCAGTATTGACAATTACCGTCAATATTAGTGATGTTAACGACGAAAAGCCAACATTTTCGCAGTCATTCTACAAAGGTAATTATGTAGAAAATGCTCCATGTACCACGAGCATCCTGACAGTGGCAGCAACAGATCTGGATGAAGGGAGCAATGCCAACATCAGATTCTCAACAACAAATTCCAACTTTACAGTCGATCCAACCTCCGGCGCCATCAGATGTGCAAATCCCCTTGACTATGAAGCAATGCAGCAACACCTCATAGAGATAAAAGCCGAGAACCCAGGGGCTCCCTCTATGAACGATACAGTTACAGTTGAGATCAACGTTGAAGATGTAAATGACAACAGTCCACGTTTTGATAAAACTTCCTATCAGTCTGAGATCACAACGTGGGAGTGGTCAACCAACAATCCTGTCGATGTTTTTGAAGTCACGGACGATGATTCTGGAACGAACGGCCAATTTACATTCTCTATGAGTGGGGAGACGGACAAATTCTTCATAGATGGAGAAACTGTAGGTGTGTTACGCATCAAAGCGGGTGCAACTCAACCTGGCGCCTCGACAACATACAAGTTTGACGTCACAGCCACAGACAAAGGTTCTCCACCACGAAGAGTCTCAGTCCCAGTGACAGTTCAGGTCAAGAAAATAGAGGGCAACAGAATGGTACACTTCAGGGAAAATGACATTTTCTTTTCGATTCTGGAGAACCAAGAATATACCACTCCTTTCGGAACGGCGAAGGCTTTACATGATGTCACCGTGTCAGTGACATATTCCTTAATCCATGGTGGTGACTTCCGTATTGATCAAACCAGTGGAGAGTTGACATGCAGCACACCACAGGATCGTGAGACAGCACCCAGCCATACCATGATTGTCCGCGCGATAGATCTCGCCACTAATGCCTCGGACCTGGCTGTTGTAAGTACCGCTTTGTGTCATTTTACTTCGAATGTTTTTGGTGCTAACACTATTCCATGTGTTTCGTCTAGCCCTTTTAAATAACGATAACTTGTTCAAATTCTCAAATTGCAAACCCTATAAGCGAAATGGGCTTGTAATATTCATACCTTGTCGTTACATTCCGTTGAAGATGTTAGAAGTTAAATACCATCGGGCTACAAAGAATGAAAGCATCGCCGAGGTCACAGAGTGGGAAGCCAAGTAACAGTGCCCTGTTGGTTAGGTTCCGCTCTAAGATATTGTTTCTGACTATGAACGCCACTGCACAATAGATTTTTGAAATAATCGTTTACCCTATGTGTGCGTATGACATACCCATATACTAATTATGTGTTTGCATCAATGGACAATGACGACACGGAAGTTATATTGTGTCGAAATAAACAGCAATGTTTATTGCGCGAACTGCCATGAGCCTGTGTTTAATATACCCTGTCAAATAGTCATGGTAACAGTTGTCCGCGTTCGCGTTGACAGTTCTATGCTGGCCCTCAAATTAATTTTCTATGCTGGCTCTCAAATGAAATTTCTAAGCCACATAAATTAACTAATTCATGAAATGATTAATGTCTGTGGATTGTCTATTCAATGTACATTGGGGATTATTTCAGATAAAGGTAACGGTTGAAGACGAAAATGACAACAGCCCCAGATTTCTGACAATACCTGCACAACATGTCTTCAGTGTTCAGGAAAACTCTGTAAACATGTTCGTGGCACGCATCATGGCTGAAGACAATGATGCTGGTGAAAATGGAACTATAACCTACAGCATGGAGTCGCAGACACCTCGTACGCGTAAGTCGTCAATACTATTATTATCTGTAAGGTTTCTACGGAGATATGAGTGAGTGTTAGAATCCCTGTTCGACGCGATTAAGTTTCAGATGTCCCCCACACCAAGATGACACGCCATGATGTACCCAATGTACTCATTCACTTGTACAGAGATAGACGACTACCGTTGTAGATTGTGCTTGTATTAATTTACAATTATAATTATATTTTAGTCGAAATAATGAGTTTGATCTTCGAATAAGAAAAAATATATTTTTTATTCAATGAAGGACAGTTACTTGTATATATTTGAAGCGAGTGTTGCCTTTTCCTATTTTGATTATGTTGGGCATCCGTCGCTATGTGAATAGTTAATAGCAAAGCCAAAACATTCTTCATACATGCATGCAACTGTCTGGTACAATCTATGTAAAAGTTGGCATCATAATCTGACATCATCCACACAAACCAGATTAATACATAATATACCCATTGTTTTCATTTTCGGACATTATAAGCCATGTACAAGATGTGATAGTTTCACTTTACCAACATACAGCATGTCCAAACCGTTCATCAAATTGAGTCACAATAACGTTTGCGTTTCAATGTTCCATTTATCTTTAAAAAAATTACATATATTTGATGATTTGCAGATTTCTCAATAAATCCAGAAACGGGGCGTATTACCGTTTCGGGAGATGTTGACAGAGAAGCGTTTGATGAATACAACTTAATCATCAAGGTAACACCAGAAAAATTCACATTTTGTAACGTTATGATACGTGTCTTACCATACAAGCCAGTGGATTCTCAGACATAGACCTGTCTATGATCTTGGATCCATCGCCTTTTTGTTGCTGAATGTGTTGTTGTGGTCACTGAACTACATTTTAATATATTTCATCACTGAACTACATTTGAATATATTTCGTTTCTTATTTCAAGGCCGCTGACAATGCAGATGTTCCGAGAACTGCAATAACACAGGCTATAATCCTTATCCTTGATATCAACGACAACCCCCCTACTTTCCAAACACTGTATGAGGTGTCTGTAAAGGAGAACAGCGCCTTGTCAACATCAGTATGTATATAAAACAATGTCTTAAACAATTCATCAATTGGCTAATAAAATTGGCTATATATATATCTATCCGAAGTGATGACTTTAATATCTGCTTTTCCGTCCTTCTTTTGAAAGACTGTTATCATTTGAACCTTCTATAGAATGTGTTCTCTGAGTACAGTTGCTCTTCTCTCCTCAGGTGGGGACCGTCAGTGCGACTGACAGGGACACGCCACATTATGGTGCAGTTACCTATGTTGGTAACACTGCCATGGAGAACGGAAATGTCTGTCCATTCAGCGTGTCAGTTGGTGAGATTCATCTGACGTACATAATACGTAACTTGTACTATTGTAAAGGCTATGACCTATGTAGGTCTCGTGATAGTACAGCTGCTTATGATTCTAATCTGTTAAGAATATTTTTTTAATCATGATGATATCTTGTTGACTAATTCTTTTAGTGTTAGCAATATATAAGCATCTTCTTTAGAGACCGGAGTCGTGAAAGTGAGCGGCGACCTCGACTACGAGACGACTTCAACATATGAATGCATCGTCACTGCTGTTGACACGTGGAGGTGCAACGATTGCACAGGACGACTCACTGGATCGACAACCTTATCCGTCACCATCCTTGATTTCAACGACAACCCGCCGGTGTTTCAAGGGGCTCCGTACAGAGCCAACATATCAAGAGCCGCTGGCATCGACAGTCTCGTCACTGACACTATCACTGCAACTGACAGGGACGGCGTCAAGCACGGCAACGGAGTCGTCAAATACCATATTTTCTCAAGTATGTATTGTACTTCAGACGTGAGAATACCACTTTTTATCTGTCAGTTTTCCATAGTCGCTAACATCCCCGGCATAGGATGCTTCGGACCTGTTCTAACCCCGAACCCCTTCAGGGAGATGAATGAATGAATGAATGAATGAATGAATGGATGGATGGATGGATGGATGGATGGATGGATGGATGCATGGGATGGATGAATGGATGGATGAATGCATGAATGGATGGATGGATGGATGGATTGATGGATGAATGAATGAATAAATGGCCATTCTTGACACTAAAGCTAGAGCGGTTGAGCTGAATGGTTCGTAAGTCATCTTTTAAGTGTAAATATTTCCCCATATATTGCAGGCACAGACTACTTCAAGATTGACCGCGACACAGGGAATATATCTGTAGCTACAGCCCTAGATGCAGTGGATGAGGATGAGGTCACTTTGAGGATCAAGGCGACAGATCTACCCCAAACAGACCCTGCTCTGGAAGCAATCACAGAGGTAATGTAGTTGTTTTACATTCTGTTGCATTGCGATGATGTCAGCACCGTGTTCTCATGGATTTACCTTCAGCCCATGAAAACCTGTCGAAAATATGATGTTCTTCAGTATTTTCAGGCAGTCATTCACGAAGTCCCATCCTTTGCATTGTGCCATCACTGATTTTCAGTTGTAGATTCATATAACGCTCACATTTGTTTTGCCCTTTACGAAAAAATGGAATCTGTCTGAAGTGTGGTTAGTCTCCTACACTGGCGTTTTGAAGAATCTGATACAAAAAGAGAAGAAATAGTTATTTTAAATGTAGGTTCACCCATGAAGATCCGGGTTAGAATTGGTCTTCAGCAACCCATGCTTGTCGTAAGAGGCGACAAACGTGATAGGGTGGTCAGACTCGCTGACTTGGTTGACACATGTCAACGTATCCCAATAGCGTATAACGATGCTCATGCTGTTGATCGCTGGATCGTCTGGTCCAAACTCTATTATTTACAGACTCTCGCCTTATAGCTGGAATATTTTTAAACAACCAAACTAAATGTAGGTTCATGGGTAATCACTGCTGTAGATACTCTCATAACAGGGGACAATAGGAAGAATGACTGTTCTCTATTCATCAACTATCTGTAATGAATAATACAAAATTCAAATGTAGAGTCATACTGTAAACGCATCCAAAAAATATCTTCAATGTGGTTCTTCATTTTCAAAGGGGGTTCAAAATGAACCCCCCCCCTCTGATCTGCCAATGACTACTGTTATAACGTACTCCAAAGGGACATTAATTCGTTATAACCGTAGTTCTTTATGCGCATTTCTGTTGAAATATTCAATCGGACGGGACCCAAATAACAGTTCGTTATATACGCCAGTGTTGTGTAAGCGTGTTCGTTATTAACGTGTTATACTGTCATACCATCTCTTCACTATTGTTCACAGGGAACTGGAAGTTCAGTGTATTATTTTAGTGTAGGCATTCTATTTATTTTGTGTTCGATACCTACAGGTCACCATCTCTATCATCACTGACAAGCCACGGCCATTCTTCAAAAAGGAGTACACCTTTAATCTGAAGGAGAACGAGCGGCCTGATGATGACAAACGTGTTGCCATTACAGCTTATGTGCGAACCGAGAGCGGCGAATTTGCGTGTAACTGCACCTATGAAATACTAGGTATAGCCTTTTCTGGTTTACCTCAGAACGGGTTTCAAAATGTTTATGTCATTGTAGTTATACAAATACAAGTTAGTAATGGAGTTATGTAATCACAAAGAGTTCATTAACGATTCTGACTATTCCCTGATAACATTTATATCAAATAAAAAACCGACTGATAACATTTATACTCAACATAATCAAAACGTCAGACCAACTCTGACATCCTAATTAGTATTTAACCTATCATTAACTGCTATTGTTACGAGGGGTGCAGGATGACTGTTGTTTTTTATCTTAGGAAAAATTCTAACTGATGTTCGAGTGTCACCTCAGGATTTCGTGTCACCTCTTTTGATGGTGATTCATACACACATACTCATGATGCATTCGTACAGTCAACACCGCCTCCGTGGTGGAGTGGCTAGAGCGTCCGCCCGGAGAGCGGAAGGTCGCAGGTTCGATCCCCGACCGCGTCATACCAAAAGACGTTAAAATATGGTACTTGTTGGTCCCTGCCTGGCGCTCGGCATTAATGGGTACAACAAGGACTGGTCGGCTCGGAGTCACTATAATGTGTCTGAGTGGGATATTCATGCTTCACTGCGGCATGGTATCTCAGTGGGCTAGCACTATAAAACCAGCTTCAGTCTGGGCTAGTACAAGTAGCCGCACATACACATACACACGCATGCACGTCGTCATATGAGCGAACTATTCTCAAGCACGACGTTAAACCCAATTTCACCTCACGTCACCTCGTAAATCAACATTTGGGCCGGCAAATATTTCTAATGATCATTGAAATGACTTTGCTTTATTTATTTTCAAAGTAAACATATATTATAACAATACTTTACTGTTTGAATGATGTCTTAATTAATCTTTTAGTTTCAGATTATTCGGGGAAGTTCTATGTAGACAGTATGACTGGAGAGTTAAGACAAAGGGACGAAATAGACCGCGAGGAGACAGGCAGCCGGTTTTATGTGACAGTGAAGGCAACTGATGGTGTCACTGGTCTTTATAGGACAAAACAAGTTGAAATAATTGTGGCGGATGTTAACGATAACTTCCCGTATTTCAAACATGCACAGCAGAACTTCACAGTACGCCAGGTAAGTATTTAGTACAGGTACAACTTCTTTCAACTCCAGAAAGATTAGTTACCTCCCCTCAATACCCCGCGTCCTAACAGATGTGAACAATGCACTACTTATTGAACATATTAACACTGTTAGGGACCGTTCATAATTTATGGCTAGTGGGGGTGATGATGATTTTAAGGGGGGGGTCACCCATTTTGTTCTGGGGAGCTTGGGGTGGGTGGTCAGCAATTTTGTACACACGTACTGGGGTGTCAGCAATTTTGTGCATAAAATATGTTTAAAATTAAGCTTAGAAATTATGGGAAGGGGGGTCATTGATTATGTACATGACATGCAGGGGGGTCACTTATTTTGTACATAAATTTTAGGGGGTTGGTGGGTCATTCACATTGTACATGCTTCTCCATACAAATCATCACCACCACCCCTAGCCATAAATTAAGAACGGTCCCTTAATCCAATAGAATATGTATCGTCGAAAATAACCAAAGATTCACCTTTGGCACTTACCTTGTAGTGCTGCCTAAGTTTTTAAAGATTTCAGGATATCTTGAAACTATCAATGGTAGTTATATCAGTAGCATCATCATTCGGGGTAGTACTGATGAAGGCGAACAAGGGTCGAGAGTAAGCCGTGTTTGTGTCGTTCATCGGAATCATCTCCCTAATGATAGTTGAATAATTTCTGAATTCGATTGCCATCAAGAATGACCTAATGCTAGTTCAGATTTGTAGTTCAGAAACAACGTTCAAATCCAATGTAACATACGAATAAAAATGTGCAATCTTCTATGCTGAAACAATTCGCTACATAACCTTATCAGAAAATTAGAAACTGATATAGCAAATATTTAACTGTATGACAAATACCTGCAAGTTACCTCCCTTGAACAATGGGTTACGATTTGATGTGCCATTTTGTAATGCTTTATTATGTTTTCATAAAACCCAGTATATTTATGACTACTGTAAATAAACAAATCATTAATTTAAAAGGAATATCAAAGTAAGGTTAAGAAAGGTACGTTCTCATTTCAGAGTGCTCCGGTCGGTTATGTGATTGGGAGAGTGACATCGTTAGATGCTGATGAACTCAGTCGTCCCATATACACAGCTTTCACTGCTGATGAGGCAATAGAGGTGCTGGGTGATGGGAAGCTGGTAGTGAGGGCTTCCTTGCTGAACTACACTGACGTTCATGTAAGCAGAACACAGGGCAGAGGACCTATATAGTAATCTCTACATTTAATTTATACGCTGCCTTCCTCATCTGTTTATGCTTGTTTGTTTGTTGTTCAAGGCCGATAGTTTGATGTTGGCCGTGAAACTATTTTGGCAAGGAAATACCTAAAACAAAGTTGTCCATTTTAAAACACTCCTGGTGACAGCAATGTCGTTTGCATTTTGTGCCATCATTGTAATCCACTGTTTCTATGGTGAACTTATAGCAGTTGAGAGAAGAGAATTAGAAAAGTGAATACACTGTATCAATTTGTCCATCAATTTGCTTTCCATCAGTATAGTACCATTAATGGGCGGGTGGGGTATTCTAATGATTAAAAGTTTAATTAGTGTAATATTTACTTTCCCGTTTCTGTAGTTAAACCGCTATTTTATTGCTGCAATATTAGAAATGATTAATCAGCGTAAGGCCATATGCTCATTCATTAGTTACCATTAACGCCCAAACCCCTCTATTACCAGATGGTTGTTAATGTGAAAGAGGATCGCTTTGAAGGAACAATTGACGTGTCAGCCAGTACCAATACAAATGTCTATATAAACATCCGACCTGACTACAACCAGCATGCTCCAACGTTTGGAAAAGGTAAACTAACTGCAACCCAGGAAGTGGACGATAATTTGCGACATCTTGTGAGAAACGTGTCACCATGTTGACATTATTTTTCTTAGAGTTGACCGTTTGTTTCCCAGCATCCGTTACCATTTTAAGCTTCTTTTTTTGGGTTTGGGGGGGGGGTGGGGTACAATATTAAGAAAGGCGTATTATTTAGCAATATCATATAATACAATCAGAAGTATCTAGTATTTTTAAGAAGATTAGTCAACTTTTTAAGATTCTTTTCTTACGCTATGCCGTTTTTGATTCCTAACGGCCTGATGTTTAAACTGTCAATATTGAAGATTATGTCGGAAATAATTATTTTTAAAGTACCGTTCTGTCATTGTTTGGATACTGCAACGTGGACGTGTTGTACTGCAACGTGGACGTGTTGATGTGTTTCAGATACTTATGAAGCCTCACTGATGTTTTTATCTCGAAAAGGCACTGAGGTTCAAATTGACGACTTCAGTGCCACGGATGCTGATGGGGACAGTGTTACATACGCAATACAACGAGGAAATTTTAGGGTGGGTAGTGTCATACCCTGCGTTAAGATGCTCTTTCTGACTGGTTACTGAAAGGGCCACTTTGCCCCCAGGTGCCCAGCTGACATATAAGTAAAAACCTTATATGCCCGATGGGAAATGCCACACTTCTTACCAATGTGAATACTCTGTTGGGATTATAGTATCTCGGAACCGGACCATTAGCAGATCGGGGAATCCGAGCTATCTGAATGTAATGCAAGGGCGATGACTGGACGTGGCGGTGACACTGGAAAGGTTCCAGGCTTCGACTTGCACCGTATGTTCCCGTGGTGTTTCAGAGGAACAGTTGACTTGCTGTGCATGTGCATATGCATGTGCATGTGCATATGCATGTGACGAGTGCCAGTTGTGGACCAGCATAAGCTCATTATTTAATTTTTAAAGATAGGAATTCTAAGATACTTATGAGCAGTTGAGGATATGCGATTTTTTAAATGTTAAAAATATGAACAAAGAACAAAAACATGTCGAAGTTTCAGTGACTAAGAGCCAGGACAGTTATTTTTTGTGTGGATATGGTATCTCTGAGTTAAGAGCCTTTCAACTGAAAATCAAGTTCATTGTAAGGTACAGTTACTTTTGTTTCTAATTTTATATCTACAAACGTTGGAGGGGCGACGGTGGGGTACCCTAGTGGTTAAAGCGTCACGCTGAAGACCCGGGTTCGATTGCCCACATGGGTACAATGTGTGAAGCCCATTTCTGGTGTCCCCGCCGTGATTTTGCTGGAATATTGCTAAAAGTGGCGTAAAACCAAACTCACTCACTCTCTAAAAACGTTGGTATATGTGATATATAAAGACAAGAGATTTTCCATTCTAATCATTTCCAACAACTGTTTTCCTTATTCAACCTTTGCAATATGCAAACAGGAACAGTGTCTGCAGTGTAAGACGTCATAATAGTCTGCAAAGTATTGTGATCCAATTTCACTTCAGTAATATCTCCGAGGAGTGATCGCTTGATATCACTGAAGAAATTTGGGATGAAAAAATCGTTATCCCCATAAATCAAATGTTTTAAAAAGGTTGCACATGACTGAATGCAGTGTATTAAATAAGCCAAAACTCCAGCCAGACATCAGGGCTGGTAACTTCAAAATTACCAGCCCCAAATGGATTTAACCAGCCCAAATATGGTGAAATTACTCAGTTGTATGGAACATCTAAAAAAAATTCCAGACCATCGGGCTGGCTAGCTGTAAATTTAGACCGTCCGTCAGAAATCTAGACCGTCTCGGGCGGTCGGACGGGCCTTATTTCATACAGTGCTGAATGTGACATTTGACTTTTTTATGTCAGTATAAATGCAAAATCTGTTGTATTTTTCCTATTTTATTATGTAACAACTAAATTTCTACTTTTCTACATTCAACTGAAGTTACTGTGTAATCTTTAGTGTGATTTAGAGGCTTGTTGTTTACCAGGATACGTTCACGATCGACAGCGAGACCGGGAAGATATCTCTACAGTATACACTAGACGACACTGTGCCCCTGGTCGTAGAACTAGTTGTAACAGCCACCGATTCCAGCAGTTATCCGATGACCGGGTAGGGCTAACAACCTTTACTGATCCGTCCTGACGAAACGCATGTACATACAACCGTGGATTTAACTATTAAAAGTTTTCGAAAGAAAATAAAATTTCGACACTTCATACTCGCTAATCACTCTCAAGTTCAAAGAAATTCCAGTGATATATAAAAATTTCAACACTTCGTACTTGCAAGTTTCTAGCGAACCGCTCGCGAATCACTCGCAAGTTCAAAGAATTTCAGTATGAAACGAAATACTATTATAAACTGTAAACACATTATCCCAGACTGTATGACAGTGCGCAATGTATGTTTCAGATCCTGTACAGTTACAATATCTCTGAGGGACTTCACAGCCACAGCATGTATAGCGGAAAACGCATATTCAGAGCTACAACTTCGCGCACAGCAGAGACTGATATTCCTGGGCTTATTCATAGCTATGGCAGTCCTACTTGCGGTGATCAGCCTTATTGCCATATTTGCTATATACAAGTAAGTGAAAAGGTGACAGGAAACCGTGATTGTCATCAGGAACGAGACTCAAATGCCTCTCTGCATTCCCCTATGTGTTTAAACCAGATAGATTAGTTTACTCAGATAATTAAGACAAATTCCTTTCCACATCCATAAGGCAACTCCGTCTAAAGCTCCGACTATATCATGTTTGTTTGTTTCTGGTGTCCCCCGCCGTGATATTGCTGGAATATTGCTAAAAGCGGCGTAAAAGACTAAACTCAGTCAGTCAGTCATATCATATCGCACCACATCATACCATATCATATCAAATAACAAAATAAGTACATACATTCTTTGAATTATTATGTTTATTTCTTAGAGACAATGCCTGATAGATAAAGGTTGACAACTTACGGATAAGAACATTGTCATCAGTACTCATTAACAAAGAAAATTTCACCCTATCGGGATATACAGAATAATATGTTGGGACATTTGTTTTCTTAACTCACAATAGAATGGGCAAATTAATAGGAAGTGATATTCATCTTCTACACAATTAAGATCACAAAATGTACAAATGCTATTTTCTCTCTCTATTTTATGAAATCTCCCATTTTCGATGCCAAGTCATGTGAGGAACACCTAAACCGAGCAAATGCCTTTCGAAATTTCTTGATATTTAGTGAAAACAGATAATCCTCGCCTCTTACGACAAGCATGGGTTGCTGAAGACCAATTCTAACCCGGATCTTCACTGATCTACTATATCACGAGAATAGCAGGTGATGAAACGTGAGTGTATCCTTACCCCACCCATGGTACCCGTCATAAACCCATGCAAAGGCAACTCAAATGTTCACCTCACACGTTTATGTTTAGATGGAGGACGACATCACACACAACACCGGGAAAGGATAAGGTTGAAACAGCTCAGGAAATGGACCCAATACCAATGGAATATGACCTGCTGGCTGCTAACCGCCCAGAACTAAGAAGATCTTACTACAGACGGCTGGGCAGAAATAGCGTAAGGCTATAGCCTTTCATTCAGGACTCTGTATGTATGCTGTAGAGTAGGCTTGATCCAAGGCTGTACTGAAGGCTAAGCCCATGGATGTATAGGATTTCTATCCGTCATAGAGACAAGTCTAGATAAGCGGACAGTACATCTAAGGATGCCAGTTTTGGATGTGAGGGGGATATTTATATGTTATAGAAATTATAATTGAAAATATCAATTATTATCTTGCAGGTGTGTGAGTTGAGTTTGGCTTTACGTCACATCGGCATTATTCCAGCCATATAGTGACGAGACCAAGTCTGCATTAGTAAACATTGCAAGCACAGAGTATATTACCTTGTAGACTTGTGCAAGTCTATCTGTAGAGCAGTTCAGATATATATCACGTGGATGTGAAGATTGGGCAGGGGTGGAGGGATGTTGGTGTTATTTACTTACCACATTAGTTCTCAATCTTTTACATCCACACGTGGAACTGTGTCAACATATAGTTTAGGGGTTCTATACCAATGTTTTAATCGTCTACATTCTATTTATCTGAATCTGGGAACATTTACATGGGCTCTATTATATATATATACATCAAAACAACCATAACTCATCCGGTTTCATCTCTAATGCACACGTGTAGTGCATCTTTACGAGAATCTCTTTAACTCATAAAGTATATAGATGCATGAGGAATTAACTTTCGATCATTAAGTGAAGAGTTACCTCCCTTTCCTATCTCATCACCATCCATGATAACATTTAAGAATTGAATGTCAGTTTGTGTGTTTGCACTGTTTGAACAACGCTTTGACATCATTCATTTTTCAGTGCACATACACAAACTGACATTCAATTCTTATAATTTAGTACTTTGAAGTTTACATATACGTTTTTTTACCCGCTTCTACATGATCATTGTTTACAGTGATGTGTTTTAATGCCTGTAAAATGTTGTAATGCCATTCTGTTCAAGACCGTATTACAGCGATGTTTGTATACTTGGAGATTTGTTTACACATGTATCCAAACCCTTGAAGAAATAGTTCTCAAAGTATTCCTTAACATTTAACAACAAGTTCGTCATTAGGTTTGAAACTGCTTTAAAATCATCAAACAGGCACACATAACAATAACAATATCATTTTAACAAACTGTCATTGTACCTTTACACTATTACTGATTCGTTTGACCGCGTAATGATACACTGACAGACTTCGAAGTTGTGCGGCGTGGCGATTAGGATGCAGACCTCTTTGTTGTATTCTATTTATTTGTGATGGGTTATAGTGAAATTTATTGAACAGACCACGGGGTGTGAATACAAATAATTTTTATTTTGTTTACGTCAAGCTGGACAGGGAATATGCTGGGAAAACCCGGAAAGTAGTGCCGGCAAAAGTTCACATGACCTAGATCGGCTCGAACGATGTTTACACACGTATGAACGATTTGAAGGGTTCAAGAGAAATGAACCTTCAAATTTAGATCACATGACCGCTCTCCAAAATACCCAACGTTCGGGAATCTGTGTAAACTGAACTGAAATTATATGATTTTAATTTTTGAAGTATATGTGTCTAAATGTAATGTATCACTTCCTCGTCTTTGCAGTCACCTGGTGTTCCAGATCAAGGATATTTAACTCCAGTTTCAAGGTAAACTTAACAAGTCAACAATTTACCACTAATTTTTGTCACTAACACATTTTTCAAGTGATACTAATGTATCAAGTTGAATTTATACATGATCGGTTGTTTATTTCTTGAATCACTATAAGGAGTTAAATATTTAAATCTGAATGTGACCTGTGTACTGATGATCTTGCTTACATTTAATCAAGTCTCTTATGAACAATGAGAAAAAAGCGTGTTAAAAGGGTTTCTCGGCTTAGTAACCGTATTATTTTATCCTAGCTCTATTTATGTACTGAGTTGTATTTCAACATACATACTCATATATGATCATGTTTGAATCTTGCATTACAGTATAATATCCTAGTCTGTCTGTTAAAGATCGCTGAGGACTGATACTGTTTTCGTTTCCAGGCCAACACCACCCACGCATCCAGACGAGCTCAGCCTTCCTTATGATGATGCGGATGCTTATATTGAGGTGCAGGCGTGAAGATTTCCTCACCCACCCCGGTTATGTGGATATAATTTTGTTATTTCGGAAAAAGCTCGGCTTCACTGACATTATGCTTGAAAACGTAAAACATATATGAATCCCAATCCCCCAAACAGTGTTACACCCGAATTATGTATTCATGAACCTTTAGGTTTTCAGACATCTTGGATGTTGCATTATGGATGCACTGGTGTACTTATATACGTATGTCAATGGGTGAATGACGTAGTGTATACGAGAGTGAGACCAATAGTACATTGACATTGTATGGGGAACTTGTTATACCGCGTCATATGGACAAACTGTACAGGCTTTAGTCCTGTTAAAAGGTTATTATTTGTTCGGCATTAATTGCTTGTATTATGAACAGAATACAATCCTTTGAATCTGTCATCTTGATACTCTTTACAGTATTATACGTAGTTGATATTAAGAGGTTATTACGTGACAGTTTTCCTTTTTGCCAGTTATATCCGCCCGAGACTGTCATATCATAACCTTTCTATCATTCCACATCAAGGGACGTAACTCTAAAATATACTAGGCTCTGTCTATTAAAGTTTTAAGCGTTTGCGTCTATTCATGCCGTACCAGTTTAGTAGCCAGGCAATACGGCTGGTATGGATTTTCGTCGCGAGGGCTGATATGGCTGATATGCATGTTCAGCCCGGGTGGTCAATATGGACAGTATTCTATGTGCAAAATATCCATATTATTGATAGTTATAAATATCATTCAGGTCAATGTGTCTTCATTGATGCAGATATAATTACATGTATGTCACACATATGGACCTTGTCGGGATCAACATAAATACAGCGATGTCCCATTTACCTTTGGAAGAAAGTCTCTTGTATTTCTTCAAGGATTTTGAACATTTTACATCATTGACAAGTGGTATAATACGTATCTTTACATAAGTGTTTAAACCTATGACATGCATTATTGTTGCCTAGTTCCCCATGCTATAAAGGCAGATGTAGATATATCTACGGTAAGTGCTGTTCTCTTACAGCAGAGATCTAGTTTACTTCGAATTCATTGGTATATTAACAGGGCGGTATCACGCTTATATCATTGTCAATTGTGACCGAGTATACACTATTTTGATTGCTAGTATTAGCATAAGCCGTTCTTGTAGCACAATATTATCTAGAATATGTGTAATGTCTGAAAATTCATGACACTGTCTGCAAATTATGTAACATTTTCGATAAATACTACCATCTATCATGTCGTTTGAACATCATGAAATATAAGATCATAACCTCACAGTATTGTACATGTATCTACATCCACACTATTGAACGGTCTTAAATCAAGGTATATAGTCTAATATGTATTTTTAATAAGCAGCCCATCAACTGAGTGGTTAGTACAGTTGTTATTGTATGCTCGTGGATTATCTATCCATTGTTTGTACATATTGACTCCTTTTCAGAATTATTAACATTTGGATATCATATAGTTGAAATAATGTCAACCCTTAAACATACCACTGTATATCACTACCAGTTTGTAATGAGAAAATGCAAAGAATAGGAGTATGTTTGGTGGTAAATAAACATATATTTTTACAGAATATTCTTTTGTGAATATCGGAACGTTATTACTAGTATCAGGGAGACTATATAAGTAGAGTATCCCTGCTAGTATGCTATTAACCACAAATATGCCCGACCAAGAGGTCACAGTGACATAGCTTTACTACGTCTGAATGTGGTGTAACCTAACACCTGTGTATATGTCAGTATGAGAAAAGTAACCTTGATTTGAATTGATATGTCAATACCACTTTTACAGAACAAATGTAATGTTGTTCGGTGCTGTGCGGTGGGGTGGATGGGTGGAGTGGATTCATTGGGCCCCCCACTCAACCACCGCCCCATCCTCTTTTGAAAGCGCGCATGAAATGCCCAAAAATATTTTCCAACGGCAAGGGACCAGTTCACATTCAAATTGATTTTACATTCGGTTTTCATTTACAAGGGAAAGGTGGGGTGGCATAGTGGTTAAAGCGTTCGCCCGTCACGCGGAAGAGCCGGGTTCGATTCCCCACATTGGTACAATGTGTGAAGCCCATTTCTGGTGTCACATTCGTGATATTGCTGGAATATTGCTAAAATCGACGTAAAACTCTTTAAAAGCCCTTTTTAAGGTTTCATATTTACACAGCATATCTTGAGTCTAAGACAAAGAAATCAAGTAAGTAGATTTTTGAAATTTTGAACACAGCAAATGTGAAAAAGGATGCAGCTGTATCTTGTCTGGAGGACGGGGATACCCAAGTACCAACCCGAGTAAAACATGTTGGGCCCATTGCTTTGTTCAAATGTTGTTGTTATTTGCTATATTTAACGTCGCACCACAACTAAGTGAGGCCGAATTAAAAAGGTAACGAATATGAAATAGGCAGAGAGCTTGTTCAAACAAGCTGAAAATACATATATAGCTTGCTTTCTGTTGTATAACAACCCAGGGTTGTTGTCTGGCTGATCAGATTTCAATACAGATTGAATACAAAAGAGAGCTTCAGCACAAAAGAATATGCATGAACTTCCTGGTACACACAGAGTCGAGATATAGATCACAAGTTCATACTAAAAACACCTATTCAATCTATTCATAACGATACATTGCTGGAAGAGATACCGCCATATATTCACTTACTTAGGAATGCGCATAGCTCACATAACTAGGTAATTTATGTCTACTTGATATTTCAATGATTATGAGTTGTATGCTGGTTCCAGTTAGGTTTAATATATCACTACTTGATCAAAGGGGAGTATGAATTTGAACGACCTCATGTTTAATATTTAAGTCTATGAATGGCATACTACCTAGAAAAGGTGTCAGGCATGTTTGTATAAAGTCATTTCAATTCCGCGCTTGTTTCTGCAAACCGCAGTTTGATGAAATAGAGGCATTGGTATGTTATAATTCCAAATGCACACCATGCATTAGTCTGACACACGTGGGTGAGTGAGTGAATGAGTGAGTGTGGCTTTATGCAGCTTTTAGCGATATTCCAGCAATATCACTTTGGGGGACACAACAAATAGACTCAAACCCCGGTCTCCGGCATGATGATCTAACGCTTTGATCCCAAGATTACCCCACTGTCCTTGACACAAGTAGGGAATTTCAACATTTGAACGCACACCAAGCAGAGGTATGGAATTGCACATGTCAGTGGTGGTGTGTGGTCCTGTGCACAGAGCTCAGGTCACAAATCAGTTTATGTTAGGAGCGTTTTTCACGCCGAGTCCATGGATGTGTTACCATGTTTAGCAGCTTCGCTTCGCTCCTGAGAGTTTCTAGGAATTTAGAGACCCGTGAAGATCCGGGCAAGAATTGATCTTCAGCAACCCATGCTTGTCGTAAGAGGCGACTAACGGGTGGTCAGGCACGTTGACTTGGTTGACACATGTGATCGGTTCCCAATTGCGCAGATCGATGCTCATGCTGTTGATCACTGGATTGTCTGGTCCAGACTCGATTATTTACAGACCGCCGCCATATAGCTGGAATATTGCTGAGTGAGGCGTAAAACTAAACTCACTCACTCACTAGGACTTCGGTCCTGCCCCACAGCGAAGCACGTATGACACATCTCGTCTCGCCTTAGGCAGGTGAATTCGGCGTGACGATCGGATGCTTTATTATGACCACGAGTCCCACTCTTGTCACATTGTATCAATGTATCCATTTAAAGTACTGTCGGAACTGTTTTTCACATTTATGTCAACAATTTATGTAGTTAATATGTGAAAGTGTGAAATATCTGTTAAACTAAATTCGTCCAAAGCGACTTATTTAGAACAGACCATGGCTTTTTGCAAATTAGTGTGCGATGATATTGCATTTCAAAGGACACTTTTTATATGCCCATTTTGTATTATACTTACCTTCATTATATATGATAGCTGGTGTAAAAATAATAACTTTGATACTGAAACTATTAAGGATGTTGCTACCATGGAACCTCATTATCAATGTATAAAAAGAAACAGGTAGGAGGGGTCGTCTCAAAAGCAAAACCAGGACGGGTGTCGCAGACGGTGGTTGGGGTCAGACTGGGGGATAGAGATATCAGCTACAGCCTGGAAGAAAGATTATCCTTTAGGGGAGTTTCAATGGGAAAGTAAACTGCAATTTACAAATAATGTCCAGTCTTGTCATTCTTGGGGTGGTCATGCCACCTATATATTTTGAGACATTTAATACGATGGTTGATTTAAGCTTTTCTGTGGGTATCTTACTCTTTTACATATCTCAACATAAACCTTTTGACAGAAAGACACGTGAGATGTTATTCAACAGATAAGACATATTCAACACACATGAAAAAAACATAAATTATCTTTGAGATTACCCCTTTTGCCTGTAAGTCGACGGTCCATCGTCAAACCTGGCTGAGCGACCCAATTGCCGTCTATAGTTTGATCTATTGTTTTCAGCAGCTTTTCATATTAAGTTTTTAAATTACGTATCCCACTGAAAGCCAAGTTGGTTATTTCGACATAGCTGCTAGTTGCAATTGGGTAAATTTTAGGTATACAGAGTAACAGCCTAAAATATTTTTTTCTATTTCCGACAGTACTTTAGTTACCTTACTCATTTACACACACGAGCCAGATAGTCTAGTGATATTACAATATACCATTGTCATCTGGGAACTGACAGATCGCTGCAATTAATGCTACATGTTTGCTGACATGGAAGCAAGGGGTGTGACGCCTTCCACCAGATTATGTTCTGTAACGTGATAGTCACGTGAACTTGAACCGACTCTTGTTCCAAGGTAGATTCCCTTACATATCACGTGCAAGCTGCACGTTCCAGTGCACACCGACCGCATCCGTGATGTAGTGGTTAGAGCGTCTGCCCGGAGAGCGGAAGGTCGCGGGTGCGATCCCCGACCGCGTCATACCAAAAGACCTTAAAATATGGTACTTGTTGGTCCAATATCCAATATCACCTCACCTCACCTCCAGTGCACACCTGCCGAGGTATACATGTCACGAGTGAAACCCAATTTCACCATTGTAAAATAATACAAATAGAACGCATGTTGGGATTCTTTACGAAGCATACAGGTAACATACAACACGGATCTAGTCCACCATGGGTGTATGTTAAACCTGTGTTACTGAATGTATTGAAGCCAATAAAGTGCTTTTTCACAGCATGTGTAACTGGTTAGTTTGTACTAACTAGACTTTTTATACACGGTGTTTCATAGGAAAATGATAGCAGGTTGGTTGTAGAGCGTAGCAGGATCCTGTGATTATTGGTTCGACCCTGCCTGACCTACAATACTTTCCTCAAATATCCAGCTAACAAGTTGGGATAACGCTGAACTACTTTATATATACACATATTATCATTTTAATGGAGAACATTCAATTGTGAGATAGGGTTTTGATAAATAAAGTCTATATATAAAGAGTTGTCTTTTTCAAAGCGTTTACATTGCTGACTGTTGCATCACGTGTTGTCAAAATGTAGCTCTATCGTGCTGAAACCATGCCTACATGTGACACAACATGATGTAGCTCTATCACGTGTAACCATGCTTACATGTGACACAACATGATGTAGCTCTATAAGGTGAAACCATGCCTACATGTGACACAACATGATGTAGCTCTATCACGTGTAACCATGCCTACATGTGACACAACATGATGTAGCTCTATCACGTGTAACCATGCCTACATGTGACACAACATGAAGTAACTCTATCAAGTGTAACCATGCCTACATGTGACACAACATGATGTCTACATGTGACAGCTCTATCACGTGTAACCATGCCTACATGTGACACAACATGATGTAGCTCTATCACGTGTAACCATGCCTACATGTGACACAACATGATGTAGCTCTATCACGTGTAACCATGCCTACATGTGACACAACATGAAGTAGCTCTATCAAGTGTAACCATGTGTGAGATGTAGCTCTATCACGTGTAACCATGCCTACATGTGACACAATATGATGTAGCTCTATCACGTGTAACCATACATGTAAAGATACTTATGTGACACAACATGTATATAGCTCTATCACAACATGTGTAACCATGTAAAGATACTTAGTAAAACAACATGATATAGCTCTAGTCACATTGTGTTACTCTGTCACGTGTAAAGATACGTAGTAAAACAACATGGTGCAGCTCTGTGACCTGTAAAGATACTTAGTAAAACGACATGATATAGCAATATCACGAAGTAAAGGTACTTAGTAAAACAACATGATATAGCTCCATCACGTGTAAAGATACATACTAAAGCAACTTGAAATATATAAGCTCTATCACATGTAAAGATACTTAGTAAAACAAGATGATATAGCAATACTCTATCAACATGATATAGCTTTATCACGTGTAAAGATACTTAGTAAAGCAACATGATATAGCTCTATCACATGTAAAGATACTTAGTAAAACAACATGATATAGCTTTATCACATGTAAAGATACTTAGTAAAACAACATGATATAGCTCTTTCACATGTAAAGATACTTAATAAAGCAGCAGGATGCAGCTCTGTCACGTG